GGAAAATGCAAAAGCATTATTCTATGAGGCATCGTATATAATATAACGGGGATGCCAGCTGGACGTCGGCGCCGCGACGTCGCTTATATACGTCCTTGTTTTGTAAAGACGCCTGTACAACGTCGACGTCTCGACGTTCGTTCGAAAGCTCTTTTGCCCTCTGCCTCTGTTTTCCAACACATTTCCCACTTTACCCCACCACCCATTTCAACTCAGAGCTATTCTCCCAACAGACAAATACGTGCAGGTGTTCCGCGGGTGGAATGGAAATGGACCGCGCGTTTCGTTATATGCAGTATAGTGTGTCTCGCTTCAGTCCAAAATGATTATCTTTTCCCAGCTGCGCGACAGAATGAAAATAACTTTTTGCATTCGAGTCACATCACACCAAAAGTTTCTAAGTTGGCAAAAAAAAATATATATGCGTATATATAATCAGTCTAGGGATTTTTGATATCTCGAAAGTTTTTCCGATTTTTTTTTTTTTGACTTTTTGTAGATTTAATAAAGGTTTAAATCAGGTCTGGTGTTGCTTTAATGTAGGGCTAATGTGGATTCAATAAGGGTTCAAAGTAGGTATAAATAAGTTTTAAATTAGGTTCAATATAGGTATAGGTTCAAATTTGGTCTTTTATAAGTTCAATCTAGGTCCAATATCGGTTTAAATTAGGTCTAATATACGTTCAAAGTAGGTTCGAAGTAGATTCAATATAGGTTCAAAGTAGGTTTAAGTAAGGGCCAATGTAGATCTAATGAAGGTTCAAATTAGATCCAAAATAGGTTGAAACTAGTTTCATGATATGTTTATTGCAGACCTGATTATGTTTTAATGTTGGTCCAAGGTAGGTTTAAAGTAGTTACAATTAAGGTTTAAATAAGGTTCAAAACGGGTTCAATGAATGATTTTTGTCAAATTCTGCTTCGAATCGAATAGTTAGTCATGTGTCAATCAGTGGAAAATAATAAAAAAATAATTTCAGTTGTTTTTCATTTGTAAACGAAAAAAGCGAACAGTTGATAAAACGCGCGTCGTGGAATAAAGTTGAGATTGAAAATCGTGTCCATTTCTTGTTGGACATAAGTCGAAGGTAAAAGATAGCTCTCTGAAGGTAAAATACACTCCAGACGCTCTTGAATGTACAAGAAATATATATATATATATATATATATATATACTAGAGGGGCTACGCCCCCCTGCGCGCTTCGCGCGCCAACCCCCCTATTTTAATCATTTTTTTTTAATTTTCCATTGATCTTATTTTTCCAAATGAACCACCTATTTCAAAGAATTATTATTACAAATTCATTGAAATCTGAATAAATATTATTAAAATTAAAATTATTAAATTTTAATTAATAAATTAATTAAATTAATAATTAATAAATAATTAAATAAATTAAAATCGACATTAAGAAATTATTCTTAAAAATAATTTCAATGAAATTGCCTAACAACCAATAAATTATTAAAAAGTCTTGAAACGAACATAACCTTTAAATTCAAGTCATTTTTGGCGGAAACTCCACCTTCACTTGCGGCTATATTGAAAGTCTTGAAATTTACATAACCTTAAAATTTATGTCATTTTTGGCAGGAAATACAGAGAGAGATGAGAGAAGGGGGAAGGACTTACTGCTTTATTAGGATCTTAAAACAAACATAACCTCAAAATTTAGGTCAATTTTTGGCGGAGGAGGGGAAATGAGAGGAGGGAGGGGGGACTTGCGGCTATATTCAGAGCCTTGAAACGAACATAGCCTCAAAATTTAGGTCATTTCTGTCGGGGGAGGGGAGGGGACTTGCGGCTATATTCAGAGTCTTGAAACGAACATAACCTCAAAATTTAGGTCATTTTTGACGGAGGAGGGGAAATGAGAGGAGGGAGGGGGGACTTGCGGCTAAATTCAGAGCCTTGAAACGAACATAACCTCAAAATTTAGGAGGGGGGACTCCCCCCTTCTAGGTCAAGAATTCTTGAAACAGCGGCGGCGGCGGAGGCGGCGGCGGCGATATCTTTTTGTAATATAGGAAGATATATATATATATATATATATATATATAAAAGATAACCGATATCCTTTTTCACTTGTTGGCGACACGTTTTACAGGCAAATTCAGTCGCGCGGTAGAGGCAATCCAAGCAGGATAGTATATAGGATTTTCAAAAGCTTTGCGAGAGAAACACAACACCGCATGTGGTGTACATACGTTGAACTAAAAGATAAGACAAGCTTCGGCGGTTCTGTATACATATATATATATATGTGATCTTGGTAAAATAAAATTGTACTTTGCTCATCCTCTTTCATCTTTCCGTTCCATACTTTCTCTCTTTTTCTCTCGCTTGTTCTCTCTTTCTCTGTTTTATCTGTATTTCTTCCACCCCCTCTAAAAGAGAAAAGATGACTTCTCGACATGATCTCAAAATTCTTCCTCATGTGTGGGGGGGACCTCTTTCGCCGTTTCCCTGAAGAGTCTTGTTGTGAAACGCATGACGCGTGTGCACGAGATGCATAATAATGAAAGACAACTTTGCATATATGGTCATCACGTGAAGAAGTAATTTAACCACTTTTTTAGTTTTAAAAAGAGAGAGAGAGAGAGAGAGAGAGAGAGAGAGAGAGAGAGAGAGAGAGAGAGAGGAGGAAGGATATGAGTGTTTCAGGCAACCACAGAAATTGTGGACGAATATCAATTTTTCTTAGATTATATTAGAGAAAAAAAATTTGTCATCAAAATACACCCCTATTTAAAATTGGGCTCTAGTCAGAGCCGCGATAGTTTTTCCTGTTTGAAAAAATTAAAATAAACTAAGTTTTTAACATTATACCTGACAAGTTCTAGTTTCTACTTAGTTTTTATCTAGATTCTACCTAGTTTCTATCTAGGTCCTACCTAGTTTCTATCTCGATTCTAACTAGTTTCTATCTAGGTTCTACTTAGTTTCCATCTAGGTTCTACCTAGGTCCTACCTAGTTTCTATCTAGGTTCTAAATAGTTTTGTATCTAGTTTCTACATAGTTTGTATCTAGGTTCTACGTAGTTTCTGACTAGATTTTACCTAGTTTTTCCATCAGATGTAAGGAAATCTGACGTATCTCCTTAGGATTAGATTTTAATTGATTACACATAGGTATATATAAGATGCATATTAAATATTTACGGTTAATTTTTCAATATTGATGTGTACTTATAGTCGTTTCTACTTAGGGATAAAATAATTTCTACTTGGAATGAGTGAAATAACAATTATTTTAATAGCTGCAAATTAGAATAGTTTGAAAAATAACCGATTTAATTGAGGTTAATTTAGCCCTTTTAATGTATATATAAGGTATATGGGGAATCTCTCGCTAGTTTCCGAGTTACTGATTTGACCTTTTAGTTTAACGGGTTGGGTTCAGTGGCGTGTGAAAATCGTGCCGACGAGAAATCTCTCGAAGATGGGTAAGGAGTTCAAATTCCGGAGCACTTTTTTTCTCTCTCTTTTTTTCTTTCTTTCTTTCTTTCTCTGTCTTTCTTTTTCTCTTTTTTTCAAAATTCAAGAAAGCTATATACGAGCGAAAGTATCCAACGATTTTGCCGTTCACCGAAAATTTCCTTTATTTTTATTATTTGCTTCCTTTCTGTTTGCGGACATCGATAGCACACGTAAAGGGTTCAAGCCACGATCCAAATAGCTCGAATTTCCGGACCTCTTTGGCGCCAGTGAATCTATTTATCAATTTCCCAATACGCAATTCTTTATTCGCAAATAATTCACAGCTAACATTTTGAGATTAAATTTATCTTCTGAAATAAAAAAAAGTGATTTTTCAAATTCTAATGTTTTTTTTTGATTATTTTTTAAATTTTCTTTAACCAAATTTGTTCTTTTAGAATTTGATTTCTTTTTTTGCTCAATTTTAAAAATAGATTTCATTTTTCCGAAATATTCAACTTGATCTCTTGTTTATGTAAAATTTGTTGATAATCTGTATGAATAATATAAAATTAAAAATAAAATGTTCTCTCTTTCTTTTTTTTTTTTTAAAAAAAGTGAATAAATATGATTTTATTCGTGGAATGAACATTTTTTTTTTGTTATTGTTAATTCTTGCACATGTTCTTTTAACCGGAACGAATTTCAGATCACTCTCCTGCGTGTATATAGATTTCGCCAGAGTCATTACGACTCAACGAGTCAGTCGCGATATATTTATACGGGCAGAGGGCGCGCGGGCACATCTGTTTTCTGTGGGCACGTGTCCCCGAAATTAGAACGGAGTATCACAGAAATACGCGACACCCGCGCCAAAATATCCGATTTTCCAACCTTAGTATATAATATATTGTATATAGTGGGAGAAAGCCATTCGTTTTCTTGGAAGCTCTTGATAATTCCTGATGCATCATCTCTCTCAAAATTCTTACCCTTATTTCAGTATATATATATATATATTCCATGTGTTACACCGGAAATTTCAATCTGTACGAGAAACTTCGTATTTTCTAAAAATAATATTATTCTTTTCTAATTGAATTTTGCGGACATGGAAATTTTACAAAAAAAACGATTTGGAATAAATAAAAAATTGACGTTACTTACAACTGACGGTAGCAACAACTGACGGTAGTAACAACTGACGGTAGTAACAACTGACGGCAGTAACAACTGACGGTAGTAACAACAGGCGGTAGTAACAACTGACGGTAGTAACAACTGACGGTAGAAACAACTGACGGTAGCAACAACTGACGGTATTAACAACTGATGGTATTTACAACTGACGGTAGTTTTTCTTTTTTAATTTACAGTAGTTACAATTTATAGAAATTTTAATTGACAGTATCTATTTTTTTTAATGTTTTTTATCAGAAAACTTTTTTTTCTCTGAATAATAAATTAATCGTGTCAATTGTTTGCAGATTGAATAGCAATATTGACAATTTGCAATTACTCATGAGGTGTCGATCACAATATAAATGAAATTTATTTTATTTTTTATTTTGCTTGCAGACCCATCATCGACAATGGTAAACGATTCATCAACCGTATAGCAAGAGTCTGACAGCTCATAAAACTCCAGACATGTTGAATCGGTGAGTGTTATATATATATTTATATTCTATATATATATAAGTCTATAATATCGAAATAAATATAATTTTCCTTATATTTAATAATAATGAAAAAATTCTTATAACAAATTAACGAAGAAAAGATTGAAATAATGAACGAATAGAGAAAAATAATTGCGCATTTTTCGCAAATATGCGCATAAAATGAAAAATGACTCATGGAAAAAGTTGAAAAAAAATATATGCGCGAACTTTTAATTATTGTCATTAATAATAATAAGATGGAGGGTAAACGAAGACGTTGACCTTTTGGATTATTATTATTTTCTTTTCTTTTTTTTTTTTTGAATTTATTAATCGAATCGAATCGATCAACGTTTATATACACACACATACAGTTTCGTATTCCATATGTGCTGCGGCGATTCGATTCGCGTATCACACACGAGTCATTTTTGTTCATCGCTCTTCTCGAAAGTGTAATTTAAGTCCCTAGAGCTGATCCCAATTCCAGTTTATAATTTTTCGATGCCAGATGGAGAAAGATGCGAAAGTTGTTTGGAGAGGAGGATTTAAAAAAAATAATAATAATAATAATAAAAAAGTTGTTGCCGACAGTAGCGCCGAACCGAGATCGTTGAAACCGACAAGGTCCATATCAAAGTATATATATATATGCACTTGTGCCGCGATATGACGCAGATAGGCTGAGCAAATTTAATGGCGGTTACTTGATATCGCACCTCTTGCAGTTATTATACGAGAGCGGAATTGATTTTTCTTTTCGTTCTATTGCCATTAGCGTTATCTTTCTCTCTTTTTATTTAATTTAAAAATAAACATTACTTTCCTTTCGAGGGCGGGTACTATTTAATAATATACATATTTGAGTAAATTGTCATTTTTTCGGTTTTTTAAATACCATTTGTTACAACTGAACTCTTTAATTAAAATTTAACGGTAATTTTAATGTTAAAACTTACTTAAATTACAACTTACGGTAGTTACAGCTAATTGAATATTATAAATCCGAAAGTTTTATTTGAGAATTTTGAATATTATTTATAATAGTATTGAATTCAGGTGAATAAAAATTATATATATATTTAAGTAACACGCAAACATCAAATTTGCATATAAAATCATGATAAATAATTAACCAAAAAATTTTTAATAATTTTCATCTGAATAAAAAAAGGGAAAATTGAATTTAACACACGTGCGCCATATCGTACATTACAAAATGAAAAAAAAAATGATAAAGTATTATAAAATTTTATGTTCCGCGTTATTAAAAGAATATTACACTTTATTATAAAAGTGTGATGGTGTATATAATGTATATGTGAAATGCGCCAAATGGCATCATAAGTGGACCATCAAAAGAAGAACTCGCGAGAAGATTTGCACGCGGTCTGGCCAATTGAATGTGCAAAAGATGCATACGCACACATGTATCTATACGTGCGTGTATATGTGTGCGTTGTCGAAGCAAGCATGGAATGCAGCTTCGAGCCAAACTCAGTCTTGTTGACCGGCTACTGTATACACGAAAGAGAAGTCCTTTATCATCCTGGGACGTAAAACGAGACGTCGTAATGTGACTCGTTCCCCTTCCATCTTCATGTCGAAAGCATCTTTTTTTTTACCTCCTTCATATATATACTCCATTTCTTATCCCTCACTCGTTTCCATTAATTAATTGGCTCCTGGTCTCTGTAGCGAAAAAAAGACACACATACACAACCAAATGATAAAACTTTGATCGAATTCGATGCTTATCACTTTAATGAAATTACGTGTATTTTATTCCTCAACTTTTATTTGGGACGAATATGCAAATTTAAGAAGTGGAAATTAAGTTTGAGAAATGAAAAACATTTTTTGTTTGTGTATATAGGTATATATGTTTAAAATAACAGGATGTTTAAAGTTCATTACGAACTATTAACTTGTCTTAAAATACAAAAAATTTCATTTTGCCGTGATTGTTATACAACACGATAGTTGTTGCATCTGACGGTAGTAACAACTGATAGTTACTGCATCTGACTGTAGTAACAATTGATAGTTGTGGCAACTGACGGTAGTAAGAATTGATAGTAGTTGAAACAGACGGTATTTACAACTAATAGTTATTGCAACTGACGGTAGAAACAACTTACAGTTGTTGCAACTGACGTTACTTACAACTGAGAGTTATTGCAATTAAGGGTAGAAACAACTGAAAGTAGTAGCAACTGATAGTTATTGCAACTGACGGTAGTAACAACTGACGGTAGAAATAAATGATAATTGTTGCAACTGACGGTAGTATCAACTGACAGTAGTAATCACTGATAGTTGTTGCAACTATGGCGGTAGTTTAAACTGATAGTTGTTGCAATTGACGGTAGAAACAACTGACAGTAGTGGCAACAGATAGTTATTCCAATTGACGGTAGTAACAAATGATAATTGTTGCAACCGACGGTATTTTCAACTGATAGTTGTTGCAATTGACGATACTTACAACTGACAGTAGTCGCAACTAATAGTTATTTCAATTAACGGTAGTAACAACTGACGGTAGTAATAAATGTTAATTGTTGCAATTGACGGTAGTATCAACTGACAGTAGTAATCACTGATAGTTGTTGCAACTGACGGTAGTCTCAACTGATAGTTGTTGCAATTGACGGTAGAAACAAGTGACAGTAGTAGCAACAGATAGTTATTCCAATTGACGGTAGTAATAAATGATAATTGTTATAACCGACGGTATTTTCAACTGATAGTTGTTGCAATTGACGTTACTTACAACTGACAGTAGTCGCAACTAATAGTTATTCCAATTAACGGTAGTAACAACTGACGGTAGTAATAAATGATAATTGTTGCAACTGGCGGTAGTATCAACTGACAGTAGTAATCACTGATAGTTGTTGCAACTGACGGTAGTTTCAACTGATAGTTGTTGCAATTGACGTTACTTACAACTGACAGTAGTCGCAACTAATATTTATTTCGGTTAACGGTAGTAACAACTGACGGTAGTGATAAATGATAATTGTTGCAACTGACGGTAGTATCAACTGACAGTAGTAATCACTGATAGTTGTTGCAGCTGACGTTACTTTTAACTGATAGTTGTTGCAATTGACGGTAGTAACAACTGACGGTAGTAATAAATGACAATTGTTTCGACTGACGGTAGTTATATTTACAACTGTTAGTGGTTGCAATTGATGGTAGTAACCAGCACTGATAGTTCTTGCAAGTGATGGTTGTTTTAATTGATAGTTGTTGCAATTGACGGTAGTAAGAACTGACGGTACTTGAAACTGATGCGTCTTTAACAATTGACGGTAATTTGAATTGACGGTATAACAACTGCTACACATTGAATGATTTTGTTAAAAATATTATTTATAATTAATAGTATAGCTAAACAATCCTCTCTGTCTGCCTCTATTTTGACCTGTAATTTTTTACCTTCTTTCTCCTGGGATATGTTGTAATTATACATATTACAATATACATCTTTTATATATCGTTTAGTGTCGCGGGATTAATTAGATTGAGCTATTATGTAATTAAAATGACACAATGCCATGATCATGTATATATAGACTCGATCAGCTATATAATGAAATGCAGGCAATAAATAATCGTGTTAGTTAATCGCACATTTAGTCGGTATACTCTTAATTAATAATAATTAATGGAGAAGTCGAACTGGCTTGATCGAATATATACATGAACCTTGTTCCTAAGACACTTTGCGAGAGGCTCTTGTTTATTGGTCAGTTAATACGTATATATGTGTGACGTTACCACACTGCACGTCTTGGAAAGTTACGCATATGACCCTTAACGTGACCTCTGTCGCTATGTCATTCAGGTCAATGCTCCGTGAAATATTTATTTCGAGCATTTCCGCAAGTATTATTAGCAGCCGGTTAGTGTCTGACAATATAACGCCAGCCAAGAACGTACAACACACACTATGCCTTTGACTTACTTTATTTTCATTGTTTCTTGAACATCTAAATTGCATTGCAAAATTTCTTTTTTATTTTAAACGATATATAAGTTGACGGAATGTTGTTAAAATAATATTATGTTTAGATTTCAAAGTTTTAGAAACAATTTTTTATTGGCTACTTGTGATAACAATTAACTGCGTTAATTGACGGTAGTTACAACCGGTAGATTTCTATTATACAATTAACGAAAGTTTTTTTTTTTTTTTTTTTTTTTTTTGGTAAACATTTGATCGTTAAATTAAAAAAAAAAAATGAAAGTATTTTTTGTATACGATTACGCAATACTGGAAATAAAATTTCATGGTTTCGAATAATTCGAAGCGTTCGATTCCGCGGAATGAAAAGTTTCCCACGTGTAATATCCCCTTTCGCAAGGATGAAGATGAAAAACGAGGGAAAAATGTTGTCGCGCTTTTCACGTAAAAGCGACAAACTGTTCGAGAAGCACGTACACGCGAAGCGTTGTAACTTGATACCGTTAATGGCTGACAATTCCAATGTAGTACGGATGAATAAAAATATATACCACAGTTAAGGTGTCGGGGACAAAAACAGTGACTGGAAAAAAAGGTGTATATATATATATATATATATATATATATATGAGAAACCATTACTTGCAATGATTAGTACATATATATATATATATATGTTTACTAAGGAAACAGTGCGCGAGACAGCACTTAATTACTCTGTTCGCATGACATCATTAACCAGCCGATGATTATGAATGAACAATTATATATACAAGTACATTTCTGGTGTGACCTCAATTCAATCATGGGAAACTGCGCGAAAACGAAAATTTATTCCTCCTCCTGTCAAGTTTTCTTATACTTTCGCTTTTTTCAATTCAAAAAAAAAATTGTTTTCATTCAATTAATTACACGTTTCGTAAATTAAAACACGAGTTTGTTAGTACTATATAAATTAATCACGTGGGTCTTTGCACTTAATTAATTATATGCTTTTGTATTTTAATTAAAATGTTGA